AAAAAAAAAAAAAAAAGAAAAGTGAAGGGAGAAGGGTGTTAACAAACAAACACTGATAATAAACCATTCAAGGTTTAGACACAGCTGAAACATTTGGCAATTGAGATAACAAAGCGCTTTCACATGTAAAAATAAAAACCAACTGTATCAAAGAATATCTGCTGATGTGAAACCACCGCATACATTCTGTACTCACTTTCCGGCAGCCTTGTTCAGCTTCCACTATTCCTGAACCTTGGATTTGTGATTTCATCTTACAGATGTAGTCCAGAGGCCGCTCGCAGGCTCGATCTGCCCAGTACCCATCCTTCAGAGAGGGTAGAGAAAAAAACAAAAGATTACCAGTTTGGGGACATTGATGCTATGTTCTTATAATTGGGCCTTAGAGAAAGAAAATGAAGATTCAAGGTTATTAACACAAAATGACAACTCCAGAAAGGAAAGGAAAAGAAAGTGATGTTTTACGTGTAAATAGTACATTTGACTCCGGCTACAAAGATGTAAAAAGAGATGGCAACCCTCATATGATTTTATATCCTAGAAATTCAAGCTACTATTTAGAGTGATCCAGAAAGAGACTAAAAATGCTTGTAAGTCCTTAGCTGACAGTGCTCACAGGAGGTTTGCAAGCTGCATTCTCACCAGTCTGAGCACTCAGTTCTATCTTCAGTTAAACCCAATGCATGGAAACCATCCAGAAACAACTCTCTTGCCCAGTGCTCTGAACTTGAAAACAAACCTGAAACCAAAGTCATCTTTCCTTCCTTCTTCTAATTTCAACAAACAAATGTTCTCCCAGGTCTAAGGCTCGAAAGTGGAAAGTGGAGCCTTCTAGAAATCTCATGCTAATGTTACCTCTTCTTTCCTTCGCTTAACTGCCAAATGTCTAGAAAAATGTCTATAGTTCCTCGTCTCTCATCAGGTCTCAACCCACCACAATCTGGTGCCCAAGCCTCCAGTTGGACCAATACTTAATAAATTGCAACTGTAGTCTTTCAGTTCCTGAGATAATTCCTATTTCTTAACCTTCAGTGCTAATTAATGTTTCTACTTGCCCTTTCTACCTCTAGCCCTTTCAGCTAACCTGTCTTTTCACCTCCTTCCCAAATCCTCTCCGGTTTCTTCTGCCTACTCTTTGGATAGTTAACACATACTTTTCTTAAACTTTCCATCAACCACAGTAAAAATGACCACAGTGACAAAAATAGTAGCTAATGTTAATTGAATAGTAAAATTGGCCAGAACTGTCCACAATATATGCATTAGCCCATTTAATACTCATATGACTCATATCCACAGGTGATCTGGGTATCATTGTTATCCCCATTTTGTAAATGAGGGAATAAGTCACAAAGCAAAACCATATTTACTGTCCATGAACAAAAGATAATGTGATGATAGTCTTCAATTGCTAAGGTTATACTTCAATCATGGCTGCCATCATTTCACTTTCATGGAAGTGTCATGACTTAACATGAAAAAACAAATGTAGCTTTTCAAGGACAGACTCCAGGTGCGGAACCAGAATCGTTCTAACTAGGTCCATGTCTACTCAGAGCAACCAAATAGAACCAAAGTTATCATGTGAATCCGTTATTGGTCAATGTCGTCCTTTAACCAAAAGTCTCTGTCCATTGCCTTTGTGGTTCCTCTTGAAAATTTGACTTTGCTAGATAATTTGGCAAGATTTAAGAAATTGAATCTAAATTTTGGTTCAACTTTGATCCATGTCAATTTACCTAGAATAAAATGAATCTAAACAAATACATGTCATTGAGTGGGATGAAGGAAAAGCCCCCAGTGGTTTTACTAAACACCAGCAGTGCGGGTGGCCTCACCTTGCCTTTCATCACAACACAGTCCTCCTGCCGGTTGTTCTCATGGCTTGGCTCTCCACGAAGCCATTTGGTGAATGTTACAGGGGTCCCATCACTCCACTCAAAGTACATTTGAATCTTGATGTCATTTAAGCCAATCCACAGCTCATCACTTGACTCTAAACAGGAAGAAAACCACAAAGGTAGGATATACAAAGGTTGCTGTCCACGGGTCAGGAGAGTAGCAGGAAAGGAAGGCCCTCTGCTTTATCAATAGCGCTCTGCTCCCTTGCAATCATCACTGTCATAAAGGATAATCCTCTGGAGTATTAACCTCAGTCTATAATGATGTAGATTTATATGCCAATTCTGATTTATGCTGTCTGTTTTAGGTTGTGTATGTATTCTTTACATTGTGAATCTGACTGTATTCTTCAGTTGCTCTATTACAAGTTACATCTCCTGGGAGCTGACAAGTGAAATGGAGGTAGCTCTATTATTACTCCCTAGTATGTGAAGCCACTTTTTCAATTCACCATGCCAACTGCAATCATGTTGTTAGAAATACAATAGCCTGTTTACACAAATCTATTTGCCTACTCTTAAATCTTACAAGTGATTGAAAATAACAAAAATTTAGAGCCACTGTTGTTGGAAGGAGGGAGGGAGTTGGGGGAAGGGAAGAGCAGAGAGAGGGAAGGAGGGAGGCTGGTAGGGAACACAACTTTTGGGGATGGGACATAAAGGGGGACTTTACCTAACAAATGCAACCAATGTAACCTGGTTCCATGTACCCTCAATAAATGCCCAACAATAAAAGAAAGAAAGAAAGAATATTCTAGTTGCTTCTATTAAAGAATTGATCACTATACTAGAAGTGACATTTATCTATACAGTGAGAGAAATATAAAATGAAAAGTCAGGCTGGCTCCTGGCCTTTGCTACTTATTTATTATTCTATAAATAAAAGTGAATCTATAATTATTTTTACCATAAGATGTCATGAAACACCAGGAAAACTCAAATAACAAATGAGGTTAAAACCAAAGCAACCAATATGGCTTTAAAATGCGATTATTTTGTTTTGAAATTCTATTGAGGACATTATTGATTTTATGAGTAGTTATTCTGAAAGAATTCTAAATATCAGAACAGAAACAAGACACAACAGAAATGCTTGAACGCATGCAATTTCAAAGCTGAAAAATAAATCCTTCAAAATTTAAAAATTCAGAGTACCCAATTATCTAATTTGCACAATGAGGAAGTCTATCACAAATGCTGGATGTACTATCTCTGAATGGTAAAATAAAATTACTTGCCAAAGGATGGTAAAGATAGAGCCCAGAAAAGGAGGAAAATATACACTATGTAAGAATTTAGCTAAGTGGTTTAGTCTCTTCCCCCTAAAAGTTGTCATTCAATTTTGCTTTTGGAGAAGTCTCAGTCTGGCCTCCTGCCAGCCCCAGCAGATGTTTCCAGTACCATGGGTTGAAAATGACATTGCCAAGATGGTCCCCTTTTCCTTTAACTTGATTTGACAGATCATGATCTTTTAAGCAACAAGTACAGGCTTCCCAGGGACCTCATGTACCCTTTGAGGATTTTAGTTGAAGACCAGTGAAAAATTGGGGACCACCCAAGTCCCACAATTATAATAAAGTATTAAGAGGTGTGCCATATGCCCTTACATTATGCCCATTCAGTGGGAGCACAGCTACAAGAGGGACTCAATCTCACAAATGCAAATATTATAACCTAGGTATTTGTACCCTCACATTAACCTGAAATAAAGAAAAAAAATCAAGTATTAAGAGTTTTTCTGTCAATGTTCTTCTTGCTAATCTATTCTCCCCCTTGCAATTCCTGAATTCAATCTTGATCCTACAAAAATATATAATATGCGAGTGTAAAGTTGTGAAAATGAGTTTGATAACCCAGTTGGGGAAGTCATAACAAGTTAGTTGGTATAGTTATTAACTTACATGGGCAGGTCCCTATGTGCCCCCTTGAAGTATATTTCCATGATTAATATAAAAGATATGATCTCAATTAGCTAAATAAGGTTAGGCTTTTGTCCTAAAAGCAATAATATTAACTTTATACCTTTACTTTTTGAATATTATTTTATTATTTTAAATAAATAAATCCTTAGCAGTATTTTTTAATGGCTTTTCTCATTCATTTGAAAATTTTCAAGCAGAATTTAAAATCATTTCTGGCCATCCTAACTTCCCAAAATAATTATGGCAATAAAAATATCAGTTTCTTCTTCTTTTTTTTTTTTATTAAATCATGCAGTCATGGGGTATACTGTGCTGGTTTTAGGAGGATGGGTGGTGGGAGGGTGATGGGTAGGACCACACCTATGGTCCATCTTACAAGGGTACATGTGAATCTTTCTAAATGCAGAATATAAATGTCTTAACACAATAACTAAGAAAATGCCATGAAGGCTATGTTAATCAGTGTGTTGAAAATATTTCAAATATCAGTTGGTTCTATTAATACATCACATTATAGAAAGGAGAACAAAATTTGCACCTTAGTTCTATAAAACCTTGATTCATCTCTTTTCCTTTGATTCACTGGCAAATTTTACTAGCTATTGTAAGTGTCATGATAAACTTAAGTAACTGTTATTCATCCATAGTTTTGATTCCATTATTATCTTTTAGCCTGAATTTTCTAGGCTAGGTAGATAAAGAATTATCCACAAATGATTAACAGGCTACAGTGGGCTATTGTAATGGCCTGTAATGATAAATGAGGTTAACAGAGGAAGATGAATTCCAACTGGCACAGGGGCTGGGAGCAGTGGTGCTTGGGAGTCATTTAAGTCTTTCTCTGCTGGTGCTGTATTTTATTCTAATCTATTTGTTAATTGCTGCTCGCACCGGCACTATGGGGCAGGGTGCTGTCACCACCATCAACACCATCCATTTCCTGTTGTTTTGCTGGGGGGACGGGAAGAACAGGCACAGCTATCATTTAGAAGCCTCATCTATACAACATGAAAACGATAATCATTTCATCAACCAAGATTGCCAAATGCTCAGAATCACTAAGTTGTTTCTCAGCTGGCTCTTCTATAAGGCAAGCAGTCCCAGCTCATTTGACCCATTTTTTTCTTCTGGTTAGTACCTTTTCTATGATTTTTAAAATTATATACCTAAAATTGAGACAAACATTTCTTTAAATGGTTTATGCCAACACCTAACCACTACAAAAAAAAAAAAAAATCCCTTTATTTCACCATGTTAGCTAGTTTCATAAAGAAAAGAAAATCCAAAGTGTGAGATGGTTCATTAAGAGACTTTCCTAGCTGGGTGCAGTGGCTCACGCCCTGTAATTCCAGCACTCTGGGATGCTGAAGCAGGTGGGTTTCTTAAGCTCATGAGTTCAAAACCAGCCTGAGCAAGAGTGAGACCCTGTCTCTATAAAATAGCTGGGCATTGTGGAGGGCACTAATTGTCCCAGCTACTTGGGAGGCTGAGGGAAGAGAATCGCTTAGAGTTAGAAGTTGCTGTGAGCTAGGATGCCAGAGCACTCTATAAAGGGTGACCAAATGAGACTCTGTTTCAAAAAAAAAAAAAAGAGAGAGACCTTCCTTGTGAGATAAAATCTGTACCTAAAAAAAAAAAGAAAATACACAAACATATGCACACACACACACAAAAATTCCAAAGAATTAAACAATGTTGACAAGTTTAAAGATAGACTGCTCTGAATCTAGATAATTAACAGAAAGATAATATTTAAAATCTATCCATAAACTGACTACATGTTAAAAGAAGATAAACTGGATTATCTTTTAGTGATAAGAATTCTTTAAATTGCTATCAATTTTTACATTGTAGGTATGATTCGATGTTATATTTATTAAATTGCTTAATTGTTCATTTATGATTAAATTTTAAAAAGACTGGGGGGGTGGCAGTTTGGCCAAAGGAGCTCTCAAGACCAGTCTCCAGCATGTGAGCAGTGTAACATTCCTCACCATATCCTAGCTGGGAGAAAATAAAGTCAAATTCCTCAATGCTGTGGACACTTGCGAGATCACCGCCTTCCTTCCTACATGCAATCAGGGCATCTCTCTGGATTTTCTTCTCCTCTCTATGAATCTTGTAACAGTATCCCGCATAGGGCCACCAGTGAGAAGGACAGTTAGTAGGCACATCACTTTCTAGAAAAAAAGAAAAAAGAAGAAGTTCATAAAACATTTAAAAGAGAAGATGTGTTTAGAATGATAACCATAGTTGTTATCATTCTGTACATGAAACAAGTTCATAGTTCTTAAGCAAATACTGGCAAATACTATATATTCACAACAAATAGATTAGACATTCTATTTCGGTTTTAGACTAAAAGAAAGCAAAACTACCCACAAGACCACACTAAGGTATAACAGAATGTATTTTTATCTACATTTTATCAGTGAATTTGTACTAAGCATCTATTACGTACTGTTAAAGGTTTGATAGATAATACAGCACCCAGCAGGTTTTAATTTGCCTTTATTCTGTGGATATTGGGGATCCTGTCACTCTTCAAAGGGTAGGTGATACTCATAAGCAACTGTGAGACAGATCAGTGTGGACAGGCAGTGGAATGGGTCGGGGACAGGGCCAGAGCCACTGCAACCATAGCACCCCAAGCCTTGGATCCCCTTCTGTACCTTGGAAGGGATCCACTGCTATTAGTTATTCTCCCAAAATGACATGTGCTCTTGTGGCTAGGGGAAGACTTTGATTCAGATGTTTTTGCAGTAAAACCTGAATGTGCCACAAGTTATGTGATCCTAACCAAGTCACATCACATGAATCAAAGTATCCATACGTGCAAAAGAAATTTGTAAAGAACATTAAAACTCATACTAATGTTAAACTATCTACTCTGTGTTCTTTCGAACTGGAAAAGAATAATGTGCTTATAAATTACAAATACCCCACAATTATTATTTTATTAAGCCAAGGGTTAATATCCTCATTATTGTTACTAATATTAATATCAAATTCCATAATCCTGATCAGACATTGCAAAAATTTACTTTAATTTTTAATTTACTGATAATGAGCTGAGGAAGGTAACAGTAAAGATATTTGAAGGTGGAAGACTCACTTACTTACACTATATGCCCTTGAACCTGGCACAGGGTCTAAACATGTATATTGTTTGCCAAGTGTTTGCCAAGAAAAAGAATTGAAGTTGTATTTGAAATACAGCAGTTTGTTATTAACATTCAGCAACATATTTTGTTTAGAGAGGGTCTGTATTATCAAACGAAAGTCAATTTACATATTTACTTAAGCTTGCCATTAAATGTTCTCAAATGGCTGTCTGAGTAAGTCTTCAATAGAGGGGAACTTTCTTTGTTATTATTTTAACAAATTAGTCCCATTATTCCTTAAAGGTAGAGAGTATCTCAAGCACTTTCTTTAAGCCCAGGATTCTATGCATAGTAGTGATTCAAATAAAGAGTAGTCACTCATAATGCCCAAACACTGGATTAGGTATTATCATAGAAAAATGCATATTTTAAAAAATTCTATTTCCTCAATACACTTGAGTTCTGTATGTTTCCAGTGGTGAAAGAAGGAAGAGAAGGGAAGGAAGGGGAGGGAAAGGAGGGGAGAAAAGGGAAGTAAAGAAAAGGAAGGAAAAGAGAAGAGGAGAGAGGAGAGAAGAGTTACATTAATATGGCTCTAGAGCCCTCTAGTGGGTTATTCTAATTTTGCTACTTAGGAAGATGAAAATGTCAGCCAATGCCAAGTGCTTCAAAAAATGAACACCGTAAGTGTGGTGCATTTCACAAGGGTACATGTCAAATCTAGTAAGTGAAGAGTATAAATGTCACAACGCAATAATTAAGAAAGTGCGGTGAAGACTATGTTAACCAGTTTGTTGTATTGCAAATCGTATGTAAAACCAGCACCCTATAAATGCATCAATGTACTCAGCTATGATTTAATTTAAAAAAAAAAAACGAAAAAGAACTGAACAGATGAACTTTAAAAATATTTTAAAGCAAAAAACCACCAATGCAAGTGAAATGGAGGGGAGTTCCCTGAGGCAGCCACAAAAATTTATTTGTTCCTCTGGGGCAGCATGGGGCAATAGAAATAGAATGCAAGCTACAAATGTGAGCCACATACAGAATTTAAAATGAGGCATTAGCCATTGTAAATAAAAGTAAAAAGAAACAGGTCAACTTCACTTTAAATAACACATTTCATTTTAGATTCTATAGCTCAAATATTATCATTTCAACATGGAATCCATCAAAAATGAGAAATTTTACATTTTTTTCTCTCACTAAGTCTTGGGAATCTAACATGTATTTTCCACGTGCAGCCTATCTCGATTCGAGCTGGCTGCATCTCACGTGCTCAATGCCCACGTGTGGTTAGTGGCTGCCAAACCAGATAGTACAGCCCTAGAGACCTGGAAATTATTGACAAACAGGGCAGTATCTCAAGGACTAACAGGGTACGAGGCTGAATTCTTGTCCAAGGGTCCCGATCATGTACTCTGCATGATGTGATCTCTCATATACTTTTCTAAGCTGCAGTTTATTTCGGTTTATAGATAAGATTGGAGCAATTAACCCAGGAAGTATAGATGTGTTCAGAAACCACCGTCAAATGGGAGTTAGTGAGAGAGGCAAGGAAGGCACAGCAGAGAATTTGAGGAGTGCTTGAAAATATTAGCAAGATTTCACAGGAAGAAGAGGTATTAAAACTTCTATCTTATAGAAGAGGAACCTAAGATTCACAGACAGACCAATAAGGCCAAGTTACAGAATTCTCCCTCTTCTCCCAGAGAAACTGTACAATAAGCATTCTCTCCTCTTCCCCAAAGAGGGGAATTCAGTGTCTTAAAAAGAGACTTGTATGAGCTCTTCCAAAAAGAAAGAATTTATACTATTTTTCCTACATGAGGAACAGAGGAGGTGAAATAAAAAATAATTTGGCTTATCCTGAGAGTATCCAGCATCCTTATAGAGGGCCTTCAAAGTATAATCAAACCCAATAACCAGGACCCTCACCAATATCCATTAGAGATCTTGGCTAGATCCCTGTCCATTAAAATTGCAAACACACCTACTTCCGAATCCAGCAAGTCCACGTGTAGGAATTAGTACATTCATGAGATGACATGTATATAAAGTTATTTACTTCAGGATTGTTGGTAGTAATAAAAGACTAGAAGTAAACCAAAGTCCAATAACAGAGGACTGGCTGGAATAAAAAAACCAAAGTTCTCTTCCTGCAATGGATGTTGGGCAGCCATGAAAGTGAACACAGAAGCTATTTTTGTACTTCATGGAATGATGTACAGAGTTGTTAGTGGGAAACTTAGGGTCAAGGATATATGCGTGGTATCCTGTCATTTGTAGTAAACAGGCAAAAATAATTATATTATTCAAATATAATAATTTTATATTAATTTATATTTAATTAATGTATACATTAATTAAATATATTTGTTTATATATTCACAGAATAACAAAATAAGGATCCACACCCAGAAACTATTATTTTCCAGGGAGAAGAATGGGGTGTGAGAGGTTAAGAGGTGATAGAAAACCATTATTATGTTATCATTTTTGTACCTTTTGAATTTTCTGGCTATGTCAAGCATATTTTTAAAACCAATGAAACTGCTTTCAAAATCAAGAAGAAAAAAGTCAAGAATGCCACCTGACAGGTTCCCTTAGCAGCAAATAAATAAATAAATGAAACCACTTACAGCATTGTTTACCCTGCATAAACAGACAAATTTCTAAATTTTTTTCTAAGTTCTAAAATTTTTTTAGTAAGTACTTGTTTTTTTAGTTAATTTGAAGAAAGAATTAATTTCTGCCTTAGCACTTTAATTCTTCTATAAAAGGATAATGGAGAACACAGTTGATTTTATTCCCTGGCGTCTAACCTATATGTAAAATCCAGTTACTACTTTTTGGAGATTTGAGTCCATTCTCTGAAGACTAGTGGAAAACTGAACTTCATGGGAACTCAGATCTGGGAGAACATAATAAAAATACCCCTTTCGGGTATTAGTTATCCTAGCGTAGATTCCAGTTTTGTCCTATATGCATATTTTATGTATCCTCTGAATATCTTTTTTTTTTCATCTATTACATGTACAGGATAATTCCTATTTCATAGAACTGCTGCGAAGATAAAATTCTTATTGACGTCAAAGGCTTGCACCTTGCCCAAACAGTGCAGCACACACAGGAAATGCTAGAAACCAGTAGTAGTAAGCAACAGAAAGAAATACCGCAGGCCTATGGTTCACGGTTTGCCCCACAAAATCTCTGGAGTCATTTCATAACAGCTACAATGAAGCAGAAATGTTATTTATCTTTAAATGCTGGTGTCTTACCCACGTCAGACCAAACAGATCACTTACCTGAGGGAATAACAAAAGAATTCAAAGTACTGTTGCCCTTCTTGCAAATATAGCCTAGTTTCTGAACACATTCCAGATTTTCCCATTTTGCATTTTTTCCGGGATTTAGTGACACACAGCTTTTTCCAGGTTCAGTTGATGGACTTCCTTTGAGGAAAAGGAAACATTAAAGTGAGGCTCCTGTAGGGATTCCAAGGAGACGGCGTCCCCAGACTCCTGTCCTCTTCCTTGAAATTTAATGTAATCCCATTCTGTATTTTGCTACATATTTGCAGATAAATGTTTACTGGCTGCAGAGCAAAAGACGTGATGTGTGTCTATTTGTTTTCTTATTGTTGGATCATTCCAATGCCTAAAATGTTAATTATACCAATGAGAGCTTTTTGCAATAACTTTTGTTTCCCATTACCAACCAATAAAGCTAGATCTCAAAGGTTGTACAATTAGCATCCCATATCATATTAGGAGTCATAGGGAGTTACCAGTAAAAAGAACACATGAGGTTCCAAGCCAGCTATATTAAACATTGTCAATAACCACCACCACAAAAAACAAACAAACAAAAGAAACTAAGTCAAGCTGACCATCAGGACCAGGCTTGAAACCATTCCCAGTTAGAGGGAAGACAGGAAAGAAAGTCAACAGACAAGAGAGTTCAACGGAAGGAGTAAGTGGAACTCAAGATGTCATGCTCCCAGAACTGAAACTCTTTCTCAACATCTTCAGCTCAGCCCATGAGAGAATACTGCTTGCAGCTACGCCTTCCTTCATGTCTTACTGGAAACTGATTAAAGAACCAGATATGTGCGTGCATCGGTACCCAAATTTCTCATGCTTTTCACTACTCATAGGACATTAAAATCAGTGCTCTGAGGGCAGCGCCTGTGGCTCCAAGGAGTAGGGTACTGGCCCCATATACTGGAGGTGGTGATTCAAACCCAGCCCCAGCAAAAAAAAAAAAAAAAAAAAAAAATCAGTGCTCTGAAAACTACATTCATCTCACACCTGAAGACAGCGTGAACAGGCCACAGTCTATGAACAGCTCTGCCCTATGACCGTTGACACCCATATAATCAGAACTTGAATTTCACTCTCCCTTCTGGCAAGAGGAGAATCATCAACTTTGTGGCCTGCTCCACAAAGTCTTCACCAGAAATTTCTGAAAGTTATTTAAATACCACACACACACACAATTGTTTGTAAGAAGTATAAAGATGCTTTAAAATGTATAAATAGTGTGACTAAAATAACAAGATAGCTAAATTACAGATGAGGAAGCAGTACCAGAAATTAAAGTTCAAGAAACAATAATATATGTTATAGCCATTGATAATTGATGAATGTGTTGACTCATAAATCACATTATATATTTATTTTTTGATACAACACCCCTAACAACTTTAAGACATCAGTTGGTGGTCTTTAATGTGAGCCATGGTTATTATATATTTGAATGCACACCTTCAAGGTCATCTATGTTCACTTCAAAAGTGAATGTATTTTAACATATGCATTAACTGTTAATTACTCACTTGGAGACTTGACCAAACAAGTTATTCAAGAACAACTTCTAATATTCCACGAAATTCCTCATTTTAATTTGAATGAGTACTTATACTATTTCAGAAGGTAATTGATCTGGTACCTTCTTCTCAGGAATTTGTTTTAATAAAAAAGGGAGTTTCATTTACTTTCCTATCATATTCCACTTTCATTCCTCACCTTCACCAAAGGTAACCCCCAGATTTTCTCACTGAAATCATAAATTAAGTGGTTAAATATTATAAGTATCACTCCCAGACTGAGTGATAAAAAAGGATCTGCCTGATGTTGTACAATAATTTAGCAACAAAGAATAAAAATTCTAGTCCCCTAATAAACGATTGTTACTGTCCAATGACATAATTGAGCCCACCTAGGATTTTTCAGTGGAATTTGACTGAATGGGCAGGAAGACAAATTAAATATATACCCGTTTTTTAAAAATATATCTTATATGCTCTTGCAGTAATATTTACTTCCCATATTCTAAAAGAAAATAGAATTGATTATCACTGCAAGATTTGAGTGACAGCCCAGTAACAATCATGCAGTGAAGAAATGTATTAAAAGTGGAATTTCATAGTAAATTCTAATTCAATTAACCAAAATATATTCTCTAAAAATTCTCTCTCATTTTGTTTGTTTGTTTGGGAGATAGGGTCTTACTCTTTTAAGCACAGGGTAGAATGCAATGGCATGATCAGAGCTCACTGCAGCCTTGAACTTCTGGGCTCAAGAATCATTCTGCTTCATGAGTAGCTAGGAATATAGGCACATACCACGACCTGGCTAATTCATTTTTTCTAGAGACAGGGTCTCCCTATGTTGTCCAGGTTAGTCTCAAACTCTTGGCCTCAAGTGATCCTCCTGCCTTGGCCTCCCAAAGTCCTCTCATGTTGGGAATATTATTTTATCAAAATTTGGGGGGGGGTTAATATAATAAGTCCATATAGAAAGTAGAGAGTTTAATTTTCTAAGCCAAATGCAAAAAACATTCAGTGGCTTTAAAAAACAAGTCTTACCTTATGAAAGAACACTATTTGTGGTATCGCCCATGGTGGAACTGATAAAGATGTGACCAACGTAATAAGCCGCTCCCTTTCCCACACCCACAGCAGACATAACTGATCATTAATTGTACTGTCCTAAAAAAAAAAACAAGACTAGGGGCAGCGCTGTGGCTCAAAGGAGTAGGGCGCCAGCCCCGTATGCCAGAGGTGGCAGGTTCAAACCAAGCCCCAGGCAAAAACTGCAAAAAAAAAAAAAACCAAAAAACAAAAAACCTAGACTGTTTTGGGGGTGGGGTTTAGGGAGTGGTGTGGAATCATCCCAACAGAGGATTTCAAGTAGTTATTAATACCAGCTGATACTGCTAAATAAGTTGAAAATATCTTATTATCAGTCTTTTTGTTTTCTCAGACTATTGCTTTATGTGTATATGTAAAATTACATTTAGTAATTCATATCCTTTTATAGCCTGTTATTTTTATGGAGAATACAAGCATAGAAATAACTAGCCTATAGCATTTTCTATCTTTCCCACAAATAAGAAAGCCATTGTACATTTTTATCATCCCCTGATTCTATTTTTCTAGAAACTACAAATTGCCAAGAAAAGTGCTACTGAATTTTCATGCTGGTACAGGGCATCGGAGTCTGCGACTGAGACAGTATTTTTAATCTGGTCCTATTAGGTTAGAAACGGGAGAAAATGGTGTTAATGTGAAGCCGATCGTTGTCATGGTGACTGCAAGAATGCAGACATCTCACAACTCAAATACAGCCTTGAGAAATTCTCCAACACCAAATAGCTTCAGGTCGCTTAAATTCATAGTACAACACATACATAAGTGTACACACAAAATCTTTAAATATTATACAGGGTGGGCATAAAATAGTTTAACATAGTAAATTGCCCATGAACTTTATGTCCACCCTGTATATACCATTCTATATTACAGGTCAGAAATACATATCTTATTTATAAACACTTTCTTTTTTTTTAGACAGAGTCTCACTATGTTGCCCTAGGTAGAGTGCCATGGCATCACAGCTCACAGCAACCTCAAACTCTTGGGCTCAACCGATTCTCTTGCCTCAACCTCCCAAGTAGCTGGGACTACAGGTGCCTGCCTCAAGCCCAGCTATTCTTTGGTTGCAGTTGTCATTGTTTAGCTGGTCCTTGCCAGGCTCAAACCCATCAGCCTTGGTGCATGTGACTGGTGGGCACTGTACTATGGGTGCTGATCCTATAAGCACTTTCAATGAAACATAAAATTCAAAAAATCATGACAAATGAGTCCAGTATCCGTCATACAAAAAGCTGAAAGCGCCTTGCCAGACTTTGCGAACAAGTGTCAGATAATCCTGTCAAGGATGATGACAAGGTTGAGGGAACAGCAGGTATAGAGTAACAATCTGATTAGCATATTTATTAAACCATGGTGAAGGGTGGCTACCAAATTTGTTTTTGGATATAATGCCTGGCATTATAGAATTTACATTTAATGTAGAATTTACATTATTAGAATTTGCATTTTAAACAGAGATCTGTACTGATTTGTGTGATAACCATGGCAGACAAGTCCTTTTCCCAGGAAGCTGGTACAACCTTACAGATTCACTATCCAGGGTGGCCATAAAGTTCATGTGCAGAGGCCACCCTGTACTTAAATCAGGCTGGTGGATTTCAAAGCAAGGTGAGAAATGAACTCTATTTGATGAAGTCTCTTAATCCTTCTGTTTGAGATCTACCCATGAGATAAGAAAGGTCTTCATGGTGTCCGGGTAAATTAAATTTGGATTATTTGACCCCAGATGGACTCAGCCCTACCTGGTAGCCAGTTCAAATACCGGAATGGACTGCCCCCACTCCACTGCCAACCACTGTTGAAACTCAGGCTGTTAAGTCCAATCCAGAGTCCTGAAGTCAAAGAGCTGGTTAATCCTATAAAAAAAAAAGGCAAAAACTAAAACAAAACTAGCATTCAGGAAGGACAATGAAATTAAAATCAGAATTAAGTACTTGAATCAGATATAATTAAGGGAAATAACAGTAACCATAACCAAACTGGTATCCTTTGCATCTCTTAACAATCTAAGGTGAGTAAACAAAATATTACCTCCATCAACAGGAAAAGAAACTGAGGCAGAGTACAGGTAAGCTAGTCAGATTCTTGTTAAGGTTCTGCATTTTGACAACTATCTACTTTCTCAAGGATAATATGAATGTGATTCTTTTTTTTTTTTTTTTTTTTT